AATAAACGAAGAAAAACACTAAAATCGCCAAGTATTAGTGTGTTGCTTGACTGAAATGTGGAAGTTTTGCATACGCTAATTACAATCTCGTTCCCCGAGCATGCCCGTTCGCAGGTTAAGGGTGGGCATAGCTCTGGAGAAATCGAATTGATTCAGGCCTGTGATTGGCTAACGGCAGATAGTACGTTGGATTTCCAACGTGTGTTCTACGCATGCTTGGCAATTGTTGCAAAATATAAACAAAGTATTTGGAATTTCTCGTCGAAAATTTGCTACTTTTTTACACTGAAATCGATTGAAAACAACTAGAAATTCTGGAGGGAATATGTGCGAAAGCTTCGGATTGATAGGGATACAACTACCTGAAAAATACAAGGAGAACTTCGACGTTTCGAGCGAAGGCGCTTCGACTTGTACTGTAATAGTGTTTGTATACATCGTACTTGACCTTTTATACTGTCGTACTTAACACTACGTATGCCATAAATTCTGACAGGAGAGTTAAATGTAAATTTTAAAGCATAAAAATATATAATACTTATTTTCTTGAGGAGATTATATTTATCAGCAAAGGTCAAGTACGATATATACAAACACTAACAGTCTAACAGTACAAATCGAAGCGCCTTCGCTCGAAACGTCGAAGTTCTCCTTGTATTTTTTCAGGTAGTTGTATCTCTATCAATCCGAAGCTTTCGTACATATTTCCCCCAGAATTTTTAGTTGTTTTCAATTCGATTTCAGTGTAAAATGTATCAAATTTTCGACGCGAAATTCGAAATACTTTATTTATATTTTGCAACATTGCTGAGCATGCGTACAACTCACGTTGGAAATTCAACGTGATCAATTCGATTTCTCCAGAGCTATGCCCACCCTTAACCTGCGAACGGGCATGCTCGGGGAACGAGATTGACGCTAATTATAGAACTACAATGTAATTTCATCTCGGCAAGCGGGACGAAATACTCCATATGAACGCACGGAAATATTCGTCTCGGTAAGCGAGACGTCCCGGTAAGCGGGATCATATGAACAGGCCCTAACAGTAATTCTTGAATATGTTCAATCTCGTTCCCAGAGTATGCCTGTTCGCGGGTTAGGTTGTGGCACGACCTAACCCGCGAACAGGCATACTCTGGGAACGAGATTGGAATATTTTGAGTTGATTTTGTATTAAAGTGGCAAAACGAGCTCGCGTTGATAAACAAAGTCTGAGGCTTTCCACTCCTTCAGAGTTGTAAATCCCGTTTCGCGGCGTTATAAAGCCATAATACTCCAAATTTTTTGCTCAAAATTTCTTCTTGTATGCTTCTATCGTTGTGATTGTAAAATTGGCCCGATCGGAAACGTAGCCAAGGCAAAAAACGCGAAAAACTACCGTCTGTAATACAAATCTATACAAAAGTGGGGCCCCAGAATCGGGTGGCGGCCGGTGACTTCCGGCTTCACTTTTGTATACTATAGATGCTGACTCGTACCCAGTCCCTCAAATGAGGATTAAACAAAATAATGGTGCATGATGGGAATGATCTATATAAATCGTAATTGACGACTGGGTACGAGTCAGCTATAGATGCGTTATCCAGTCTTATTTCAGATCAGTGATTGAAAGGCCTTCAACAGTCCGGCTTCCGATCTTTCTTCTTTCTGTGACGTTTTTACACGTGCGAGGTTTGCTACTTTGGCCACTGTGATAAAGTTTTGGTTTCTTAGTGTAATAAATCTGTGTATATAATGTGGTAAATGCGTCTAACAAAAACTTGTATTATAATTAACCTGTATCTAGTCGCTGCGAGTAATTGTGCTTCATATAATTTGTACTATTTAGTTCTATTTGCTTTTAATGCCCGCAGCAATCCCTACCTTGCAGGTACGCTAGTATAGTTCTAGCTTTCGACTTTGTTTAATCATCATCAGAAACGATATTTTAGTTATCAGTATTTTAGTTATCAATATTTTGGTTATCACTATCTTAGTTAAACAATATTTTAGTTATTTTAGTTATCATTCCTGATGATGAAAGCTAGAACTATATTAAAAGTTTGGATTTAGTGGTTGGGTTTGTATATTTTTCAATCTACTGCAGTTCCGATGGTCAACAAACTGAACAAAGTCTGCTTTTTGCACAAAAATATTTACATAAACGTCGTTCGTTCATGTTGTTTCTGGTTTGTTTTTATATTCGTGTTTGTGAAGCTGCCGCATACTAGCCTGCCGCACATGACGAGAGCAACTTGCTGAGCTAACCGCCTCGCGTGGCAGCTAGCTCAGCAAGTTTCTCTCGTGTGCGGATAGTTTTCTTGAGGATTTGACCTCTCGAGGCCTTGAAGAAAGTATCTATCGTGTTTGATATTTTTCACCTCGCGAGGAAAAAGTCTCAACGTCTGCGGATGTTGTGAGCTTAGTGCTGCGCTGTTTGAATCAATTAGCCAATAAGAAACCATAGTTTCTTCATGTGACTTTGAACACAATGGAGGAAAATGCAAACGATTTTGTCAATTATGTTGTTGTTGAGAGGTTTTCCCAACGTGTGCACAGACGAGAGAAACTTGCTGAGCTAACCACCTCGCGTGGTGGCTAGCTCAGCTATGCATTTTTACCGCACACGTTGGGAAAACTACTCAACAACAACACAATTGACAAAATCGTTTGCATTTCCTCCATTTTATTCGGCAAAGTCACATGAAGAAACTATGGTTTCTCATTGGCGAATTGATTCAAGCAGCTCAGCACTAAGCTCACAACATCCGCAGACGTTGAGATTTTTCCTCGCGAGTTGAAAAATATCAAACACGATAGATATTTTCCTCAAGGCCTCGAGAGGTCAAATTCTCACGAAAGCTATTCGCACACAAGAGAAACTTGCTGAGCTAGCTGTCACGCATGGCGGTTAGCTCAGCAAGATGCTCTCGTGTGCAGCAGGCTTTACCGATAGTTCAACCTACAGACAACGCTGTTGTTCGTATGTTGCGTGATTTTCATATTTAGCTGTAAACTATTAATTACTGGCCAAATCAGAAGACACGTGATGACTAAAAGGTATACATATTTGCTTTATTTAGCACCCTGGTGGCTTATTTTCCCCAGTAATTCTGGGAGCCTATTACAAGGGGGGGGGGGATAAATAGAGGCTGCATGGTAGCTAAATATATTTTCACGTTCTTGTAAAAAATATTATATCAAAGATTACTAGTGAACGTTGTAAAGAACGTTTGTGTTCATTTTTTGCAGGGCCAAATAGAGGGTGGGGGATGGGGTTCTATATTTTGTTTCAGCGCTTCTAGACTGGGGGCTAATTAGAAGTGAGACTAAAAAGACTGAATACGGTAAACAATTTAAATGTATGGTAAAAATTGCCTTTTGATCAACATGGATCAACCATTTACAGCGGTATCTTTGAATTCTCAAAAGGTTCTGCTTTTGAGAATAGCATGCATGCTTGAATTAAATTTATGAATAGTATGAATCTTGGTTTTAAAACTCATTTTACAGTAATGCATTCGGTGTTTTTGTAGTATAAAATGACACGTTCATTAAGCCTAGTTTGCATTTGGTCGTTAGTTGTCGCTGGCACGACAAGCGGTAGATGTGAAATAGTCTAATATAATAATAGTCTTTTTGTGTGATATGCAAATCAGTCTTAATGATTGCAGAGTTTTTTGTTGACACTCTATTACATCAGCCACTTGTAGTGCCAGCGACAACTAACGACCAAATGGAAACTAGGCTTTAGTATTCCCTAATATAAAATCGATCTCACGTCATTCTCCTGGGATGACCTTTTAGCATAGTTACACAAGCGGAAACAAATCAGGTTTATTGGTAGATGAATAAATGGTAAATACCAGGCCTAACAAATTGCCCGACATTTTTAAGTAGGATCTGTCCGACTAAACACTGACTAAACACGAATATTTGGGAAAATTTGTCGCGAACTTCGTTCTGAACGAAGGTAGAAGAACAAAGACGAGTTTCATTTCTCGCTGTTTTGTCTGGATCAGTTGAGGTTTAGGGTCAGTATCATTCTCGTCTCCAGAGCCATTTTCACTCGGTCACTCATTGAAAATTAGGCTCTGGGTCAGACGACTAAAGGGAGTGATCTGATTGATTTCTCAGATAACTGCTACTGTATTTGCCAGACGTTGAATAGTTTTCGCTAGGCAAAATGATTCTATCAAAATATGCCAACACGAATGCTTTGTTTCTTTGTAATACTTCTCTGTGACACGTTGCATGAACAGCCATCGGTGACCTCAAACTCAGTGTACGCAAGATAATGTGCAGAGGGACAAAAATTGTCAAGTACGTCTTCGTTCTTCGCTGTCTTGCTCAAACTCGCTATAATATTGAATGTGTGCTGAAGGTCAGCACAAAGATATAAAATGTATGTGCCATGTGCAATCAAATCTCTCCCTTGATGATTGTCAAATATATTACATAATGACTTAGAGAAAACAGATAAACGGTCTCGAGATTGGAAACTCGCCTTCAATCTTTAATAAGAAAGCGATCACCTATTTTATACTCGTAGTGTATTGGCGGTTATTTGCTAGAAAGAGTTCATCTGGGTATTTTGAACCCAGTGGTGCACGTTTTAACGAGCACATAAATAATCAAGTGTGCAAAGCTAATAAAATCTGGGGCTTTATACGACGTACCCCCTGTAAAAATAAATCTCTTCTGTTCACTATGAAATCTACGTATCTAGTGCTAATGAGACCACACTTAGAATATGCCTCTGAAGTATGGAATCCAAAGTCAGTTACTTTAATTAAACGAATTGAAAGTGTACAACGACGTGCTACACGGCTTCTCTTCAGTGGCGTATAGCCAGCCCGACAATTTGTCCTCCTACGCAAACGTTATAGCCCCGGCCAAGTTGCTATAATGACATTGATTAATCATATCTAATTAAAAATGCAATTCCTAAATTTCTTTGTAACAAATCAAATCAAGTATATTCTTTCATTCATTGAATATATTTTCTTCTTTTGCTAGTAAGTCAAGGATCAGGATGTCCACCAAACTGGAAAGAATATGGCAATTCATGCTATCTTTTTGTCATACCAACTGCACAAGTCCGTCGAATGAGCTGGGAAAACTCCAGAGCTAACTGTCTAGGATATGGAGCTGACATGGTTTCTATTCTTAATTCCTCTGAAGTTGATTTTATTAACAAGCAAACAAAAGTCCTAGGAAACCATTTGTTCTGGATTGGGCTATTCCGCAACAAGACAACCAGCGATCCAAAGGAAGGCTGGATCTGGAGTGACGGCAATAATTTTACAAATCCTCAGCAGTGGAATAGGGGTGAACCAAATAACTACAAGAATAATGAAAACTGTGCCGAAGTTTTCGCAACTAACAAACGGTGGAATGATAATGATTGCGCTAAATTATTTTCTTCGATTTGCAAAAGGAAAAAAGGTACTGAATTTGTGTAAGCTCTACTCGCATTATACCAACTGAAATTTATATAAAAATAGTTTGACCATCCAATCAAGTAGTTTCCAAATACTTTTCGCACCAACACATTTGAATTAAAACTTATAAGACTACCATTCTTTAATTTTTGAGAAATTTCGATTTTGTAGCGAGAGAATCCGGTATCGTTTGTGGAACTTCGGTTTTGTAGCTTTGCTCACAGTATTTAAGTTTGAAGAATAGAGCATCGTTAATCGCTAACACGGCATGGCATTAGTTGACAATTGCAGCTAGTACTGCATGCGAAAACAATGCCCCAAGATAGCTTCCTAACTACGTTTCCGGCATTTTTCGCGCGTTCCTATTCTTCCAATTTCTGAATGATATGTTCGGACCATTAATAGTTTGTTCAGACATCGACGAAAATTGAAATAGTTTTGTAGAAAATAATTCTAAAATTACAAACAATGTATAGAAAAAATTTAACATTATAGGTACTAAAATGATTGAAAAGGCAAATAAAAACACAACCAGACACATTGCTACAATGCGCTGCGTGTGCGCAAAGTACACCACAGACGCAGACATATATACTATATTTGAATAAATACCAAGGCTTATGATTCCAAACAACCTTTTTGCAAGGCGCGCACATAGATATCTTATATACACTAGATAGTGCATCTAATTATTCTGCAATTCAAAAATTGAAGCCATGATTGCAGACTCAGGATATTCCCATGAAATGAGAAGATTCGTATGTTTTCTATTTCTTAAACAGGGAACTTAAACAGTAAGTTAAACCTATTCCAAATACATTTTAAACTATTCAAATGATGAAAGTTATTGTTGTTTTTTAAGCCTTTATTAGCGAGTGGGAACTACACCAACATGGCCGCCATCTATTCAAATGGGGGTAACCGCTGGAATATTCTTGGCTTTAATTTTACTAAAAGAGATGCGCTATCTAGTGTAAATAAGATATCTATGGGCGCGCACCATTAGAAAAGTGATGGGAGGGGGATATTCAGCTTGCACGAATTTTTTTTCGGCTTTCGACTGTGTGCTTTTGCTGGCATTTTTTTTTTGCTTCCCGTCTGCGTGAATTTTTTTCTTTTATTTTCGTTTTCGCGAAGTTGTTTTTTTCGTATCCCCATTCCAATCACTTTTCTAATTGTCCGCCTCAAATAGAGCCTGACATAAAGCTTATTCTGATTTCTCTCTCTCAATAATAATTATAGTCAAATAATTATAGTCATACTAATATACATGAAAAAATTTCTCAATTCTGATTGACTAACAGCAGTGCAATTTTTTCGAAATACAGTGCCAAAAAATGAAATGCGGTGCAAAAAAAAGAAATTCATTGCAAATTTCATTGACTATTTAAGGCCTTCTGATTCTCTTAAAATATGAAACAATAACAAAGATAGCCAATTAGATACAGCAATTTCCAGCAGAAATAATACAAGAACACAAACATTTAGGCGTCGTTAGGAGTGACTGGCGTGTTTTCGTAAAAAAAAATGGCTGGCGTTAATTTTTCATTTATATATATTATTAATAATTAATAGTATGGTTTCTCCTACAATTTGAAAAACATATACTCGTGCGTTTTTCAAAGACTTCAAATTGTACTCGTCCTTCGGACTCGTGCAATTTTGAAAAATTCACTCGAGCATGTTTTTCCAAATTGCACTCGCCACCATACTATTACCTAAACTGTCAGCCGTGAGGCCCTGGGACCGAGGATGATACAAACTACTAAATATATAATGAATATTTGCACCAACCAATCATAATACAGATTCATTTTTTGTCTGTTATATACTAAAGAGGTGGAAAGCCGGATTTTGGCTTCTTGATATGTGGAAAGGCAAGGACTTTTCCCTTTCATCCACCCGCATAACTAAGACTAACTAACAGACTAACAAACTAATATAACACACAACAAACTAACAGACTAACCGACTAACAAGCTCACGCAGTGAATATAAAGCGATGACTGACTTTGTTTGGGCACCACAATTATTACTTTTAGTAACCACGCCAAAAGAGGCCTGGGATGAGGTTAAGAAACTATCTCAGGAAACATCTCATTCTCGTTCCCAAAGCCATTTTCCCTCGGTCACTCGTTGAAAATTAGGCTCTGGGTTAGACGACCAGGTAGAGATCTGATTGGCTTCTCAGAGAACTGCTACGTTCCCAGAACGTTGAGCAATTTTTGCTAGCCAAAATTATTCCATCAAAATATGTGAACACAAATTCTTCGTTTCTTGGTAATACTTCTCTGGAAAAATTGTTACGGGTCTAAAGCGTCCCAATACAAGAGTATCTACTTTAAATTACTGCAAGTTTTCTTGCACTTCCGGTTCCGTGTATCCCAAGGCCTATGAGGGTCGCGCGTGGCCGAGAGGCCCTGAGAGCGAGGATGGAAACGTCTATGCTGTGCATCCTTACTCGAGTTGAGTGTCCTGTGGCGAATCTGAGTTAATTTTCGTATAGATATGGGTAATTTTAATGCAAATTATTTCAACACGAACAAACGGTTAGCATTATTTTCCATCCAGCAAACTACCTGACGTCTAACCCCTAACCCTAAAAGAAACGACTTTAGAAAATCTATAGGGCGGTTTGCTGGATGGAAAATAGTGCTAACCGCAACAAACGATGAGTCATTGCCACTGATAGTAATGATATTTAAATTATGGTTTGTACAGAACTATCTTATTTGCAGTAAAATAGTTGTATTGTACGTTATCCGCTAAACTTTGCTGTATTCACATGTAGGTCTTCCTGATCCAACGACTCCAACTAGTGGAACCCTTCCTCCCACTAAAGGTACGGTATAGCAGAACATTATGTTGTTTGTGCATGATGTTACTCTGAGTGTATATCCACACCGGGAACGCTTAAGAAATATGCCTGGCCACGGCGGGAATCGAACCTACGACCTTTGGAATACTAGCCCAATGCTCTGCCAACTGAGTTACGCGGTCATGTCGGTTCGAATATGTGATATTTCGGAACTGAGTCTAGTTCCTTCGATATCAGTGCAATCTAGTAATGATGACTTTTTCTGTGTTGGATGTACTCAGCTGTCTGTACTTATCGCCCACATGTATAATAAGCCACAAATACTGTATACAGATAGCTGCAGATAAATTCACTGGAATTTATTTTGACACTGCAATTCATCCGTGATTGGCCGATTGAATAAATGAATAAAATTAGAAACCACAAACTAAACTACAAAATTTAACAACAATTCGTAGTATGAATCTTTATACATGTCATTATATATAATTCAAACTCTCATTAATAATTCATAAGCTTATTGGCAAATTATGTCAACCATAATATGTCACGCGCAGTGGTTTAAACCTGATAAAACACTCCTAATTAGTATTCTTTATATAAATAATACTAATAGTAATAAGGCATGCAGTATATCTATTGAATTTGTAGTCGTGTTTGAAGCCGTTTAATAAACTCGCATGTGTCCTGTTTTCGCTCGTGGCTTTTAATAAACCTAATAAAACACTCCTGCTCGTTTATTAAAAAGTACTTATCTTTGTATAATCAGATCCGCCTCCAAGATGTGATAGTGGATGGATTGCATATAACAGGTCTTGTTATAGAATGTTTCAAAGGGCGATAACATGGGGTGCAGCAAAGCGCACTTGTCGGGACACCGGAGGACACCTGGTCAGAATCGACAATGATAATGAGCAACACTTTCTGTCAAATTATGTTCGTCCAAAGCGTCAGGTAGGGCAAATTATAAAGTTGGGCAAATTATAAACGTATATATTAAAGTAGCCTACTGTAGGGCAAAAAGGGGGGAATAATGGAAACCAGCCTCCCAATGATTGTTGAGGCTAGTGTGGTTAAATAAAGTCTGTATGTATGTATATGTAAATTTGTAATATAACAGTGGAAAATGCAAGAAACATGTAAGATTATAGTTAAAAAATGCAATCAGGTTAGTTAAAAATGCAATGCAGCGATCAGGTTACATCGCGCAGCATAACTCTTTTCGGCACTCGAGACTTTCAAAATTTTCTCGATTTTAAATTATAAGTTTTCGGATAAACTATATATCAAATTATTTCTAATGTCTTGGTGATCCTTCTAATATAAAATTGGAGTTGTCTCGCAATGTACTCATCGAGATATTTCGCGCGAAATTTCACACTATCAACATGGCAACAGCGGATGTTCAAGATACAAACGAAAACCTTTCTCAAAACACAAACGATGTTATAGATTCAGAAATCACCAAACCTACTTTGTTATATATCCGTGAAGATGATTTATTGTGGAAAGGGGATATGGAATCTTTAAAAAAGTTCATAGAAGCGGATATACAACTCAGCGGAAGATGGTCATCGCCGAGAGGCGGAACTATTCAATTCAGTGATCTCGAGTTTTGTTTGAAATGGCATGGCCAACGGAGAATAAACTTTCGATAATACAAGACAACGAGGACAATCAGCTGCTGAAATATATACTATTGAGTTCCATATTTTGATATTTTGATTGCAATATGTTATCCACGTTTCGTTGAGAGTTCCCGATCGAGCAGTTGGACACATGTTGGGTGATGTCAATGACTTCCGATAGAGTTGTATCGTCCATGAACAATGAAATATCTTCATCTTCTGGGTTAACTGGGGAGATTACGAGTGGAAGATCATTGATGTGGATAATAAATGCGATGGGTCCAATAGTTACTTCCTTGGGGAACTCCTCCTTTGACTCAAGCCTCCTGCGAGAATTCATTGCGGAATTTAGTGACTTGTGACCTATCTTTGAGGTACGATCCTAGCCAAGAAACAAGAGCTGGCCTGACCCCAATTTTCTCACAATTTTCCAATAGCTTATTGTGATCTACCAAGTCATAAGCTTTTCTAAAATCAAGAAATATAATCCGTATTATCCTGCCAGGCGTTTCCATGGCCAAATAGCATTTACAGGTATGTATAAGGTTAACTAGGGTCAACATAGCAGATGATCCCGGTAACCCGCCATATTGGGATTCATTGAAATTCGCCCATACATCCTGATTGATCCATTCTATAGTATATGACTCCTATATCTTAGACAAAATGCTGGTAAGCGAAATTGGTCTCAAGTCCTCTACAGCAGAGCATGGTGTAACCGTTGGAATTGCGCAAACGTTATAACGTTTCCGTATTTTTGGGAATATCCGTGACCTGAACGATTCATTGAAAATGTTTGCTAACGGAATAGCAAAAGTCTTGGCAAACATCTTCAGCATTTTAAAATTGGCATCGCACGGATCGCTTGCCTTCCTAACACTAAGTCCCTTTAACTTCTTTTCTACACTTTCTTCACTAATAACTGGCAAAGGCTCGGAGGAACCGTCGTCTAACCACTTATCCTGCACTTCGATAAAATTCTCAGTTAGGCTTGCGAAAAATTCATTTATATGTTCCGCAGCTTGTTTCTCGTCCATAGGATGTTCCGTTTGCGGATCAAACAGTGTAATAGACTGTTTCTTTTTCCCAACAATTTTATTTACATTCTTCCACCAAAAATGCGGATTTTTAAGGTGGGACGAACATGATTGTGGTAAAAGTTCTTTTTTGCAGATCGAACCGGAACCTCCGCAACAATTTGATTTCTAAGACGTTTAAAGAGCTCAAAGTTACCCGACTTATGAGCTTTGTTACGCTTTGCCATTAGCTTTTTTAATCTTCCAGTTATAAATGGTTTATCATCTTCGTGTAATTTGAATGTTTTAATTGGAAAAAAGGAGTCAATTGAAACTTGCGTAAATTCTAGAAACGCGTTAACTTTATCATTAACATCTTTCGTGGATAATATGAAAGACCAGTCGCAATTAGTCACAAATTCACGCATTTTTTTTGGTTCCTGGAGGGTGGATTTTCAAACAATGGTCAACCTAGATCCTGACCTAGAACAACTAAATGACTTTGTTAGCAGTAAAATACTGATGATATTCTTCTTACAATACCACCTTTAACGTGTGATGAAGTTTTTCAATTACTTAATCAATTAGATCCTCGTAAAGCTACTGGTTTGGATGGATTTTCCTCCAAAATACTCAAAATGTCAGCTTCAGTCACTGCAGAACCTTTTACCTTGATTCTTAATCAAAGCATTACTTACGGTTACTTCCCAATGCGATGGAAAACTGCAAGAGTTGCCCAGTTCATAAATCTGGAAGTCGTACTGAAAAAAGTAATTACCGTCAAATCTCCATTCTCTGTATTGTAAGCAAACTGTTGGAACGTCACTACCATAACAGCATAACCACCCACTTAATATCTTTTGACCTACTGTGTGAAGGACAATCGGGATTCCGACGCTACCATTCTTGTGAAAGTGCAATTGTTAAGTTGGTAGATACATGGCTTACAAATATTGAACATGGAAAACTTAATGGTGTAACACTTATTGATTTTCGAAAAGCTTTTGACATGATCAGCATCAATATTCTCATCTCCAAGCTTAAGTGTTATCATTTCGATGAAACTCTAATTAAATGGATGTATTCTTATCTGTCCGGAAGATATCAGTGTGTTCAAATTAAAAATTACATTTCATCAATAGCTCCTGTTTCATTTGGCGTACCACAAGGGAGTGTTCTGGGACCGCTTCTATTTATTTTATTTGTTAACGATCTCCCTTTACATAGTAACCAGAACGTAGATCTTTATGCTGATGATTCCACCTTCTGGAAATTTCCTCTGGAAATTCCATGAACCAGTTGAATTGAACACTCTCGTCTTCCATGGAAGACATCGAGCAATGGAGCACATTTAATGGGATGGTGATTAATGGGGAGAAAACAAATCAATGGTGATTTGTACATATAAAAAATCTACGAAAATTGGCTCTTCTGAACTCTATATCAATTACAACAATACCGTGCTTGAAAATGTAGAATCAAAAAGATTGCTGGGTGTGATTGTTGATAATCATCTCTGTTGGAAAGCTCATATTCATATCAATGATCTAGCTTCTAATCTGAGTAAACTTATCGCTCTGTTCCGCCGAATCAAAATGTATCTGCTATTTTTTAAATTTATAATTTATATTTTATAAATAAAATATAAAACGTTCTTTCAACCAAGAATTGATTATTGCTGCACCGTTTGGGGACAATCACCACACACTTCAAGAATATACAAACTACAAAAACTTATCTTAAAACTAATTTATGATAAATCTAAACTTTCTCCATCTAAACTACTTTTCGAACGGTCAAACATTTTACCGATAAAGTACAGAGTTGTGTATAGGGTAGTTTACCTAGTTTATTAAACACTACTTAAATAACTTGACTCCAGACTATTTAAGTAATATGTTCAAACCATTGTCAACAATTTCCCAGCGACATACAAGAAGCACTGCCAATATGGACTTATGGGTACCAAACTATAAACTAACAATAACCAGAAGTGGACTTCGGTACACTGGAGCATATTTTTATAATATGTTGCCACCAGATATTAGATCTTCCAGCTCATTTCAAGCATTCAAGCGTAAAGCCCATGAATTGTTTTTGGATATGTACAAAAATAACTCGTAAGATGTACAGTGTATGTTATACCTATATCGATATGAACTTTATGTAATTATGTATACTGTAATCTGTAGAAATGTAAATTGTACTGCATGTAAATACCGGGTGTCCCCCAAAAAAGTACTCCGATTTGATTCTTAATAACTTCTAAACAAGTAAAGCTATCGAACAGAAATAACTTGCATTAAATAGAGCAAGGACTAACTTAGATTTTGATATATTACAGCTGTATTTTACTTAAAAATTCACGGAGATATTAATGTTCAAAATCGGGAGCATATTTTGCGATGCGTCTAAAATTAGCGAAAATCGGCATATCAAATATTAACTTAGCTCAAATATTAACTTAATTGTAGCTTACGCCCGGAACGGCGCTCCGCGCCGTTGGCTCGGGGATAATAATTTACATTTATAGTGCGCAAATGTTCCATTTGAATATGTTCACATGCACATAACAATTTATATAGAAGAATTAATACAAGAAAAAGTGTAATAATTAATAAAACTATTTATGTTCAATATTAAAAAGTCTAAAAAATATATAAATACGCTTTCTTAAATAAAAATGTCTTTATTAAAAGTCTTTTGAAATTGTCAACAGAACTAGCTTGCTGGATGTGTGAGCTAAACTATAATATAGTATGAGCGGAACTAATTCAAATTTTTTTAGAGTTTTTGGATTGGCCTAAATGACCTTGACGTTGCTGGAAATTGGACGTGGGAGTTTCGTTCTAAAGATCCTTTGAATTACAAAAACTGGCAGATTGGTGAACCGAATGGTTTAGGAGTAGAACGGTGTACCGAAATGTATGGTCATGCCCAAGCGGGTTATTGGAATGATGCAAGTTGCTATGGATGGAAATCTTACATTTGTGAGAAGGAAGAAGGTAAGATGTCATTGCGAAAGTATAACAATATGTAGTCAATATACCTGACAAAACACATTTTGAGTCGGTATTATTTGACAATGGCTTAGGCTACGCTGAGAAAAACGGTGCGGATTTAGAAACCCTAAACTGTTGGTAGCATCTTTGATTGTTGGCCGCGCCACTTCATTATGCGACTGCTTTTGGTGACTGTTTGCACAGACTTACGTCTTACAACATCTAGAAAGTCGCCCAGCTGTTGGTGGCCAAATTGGCAACTAACTGACGAGGTTTTTAAATTGTAGAAGTGTGTAACTTTGTGGGGGAAACACAAAACTATTACTACACTGCATTAGCGAAATTTACGCACAATGTATATAAATCGTACCCTATCCACAGGATGGTAGATAGACGTCGGCCACTCGCCAAAAAGCAGTTGGAAAACATGTATCGTTGCACCCGCGCGGAAACCGCAAAATGTGTTCATTAATCCACTGCCATTATACAAAACACGAATGCTGTTTTCTATTCTAACCTGCTCGAGAAAATCGCTATTATATATGTATGACGTCATTCATTAGTGGGAAAACTAAAAATCTTGGGAATTCAAAATGAACTTCAAGAGACATTTGTAAAGATCTAAGTAACAAAGTTTAATTTTGTCTTCCTAATACTGATATGCGTTTATGAGTTTACTGAATTTTAATTCTTTTTCATTCAATCTACTGATTCAAACTGCTCAAATCCACCAAATTTGGCATCAAATGAAAGGAAATTTTTAAAATAATTTAGTTCTGGGGCTGCATTTCTAATTTACGCATGCACATACTGTACTAAGTATCTAGGGATAACCGCGATGTATTTGGAAGCTGCACCATATAACCTGCTGGTCTAGACGAAATAAATTTGAAAATGGAAATTTTATCGAATCGTTTGAACAAAAGGTTTTGTTAGAAAGCTAACACACTCTTATGAAGCTTGCATAACTAGTTGGTGATGTATTTGTAATTGCTTTTAATTAATGGGTTCGGAAGAGAGACAAAGACTTGTTAAAAATCGCTATATTTTGTAACTATAAGCGCTATGGTTGTACGTATGGACTGTTACGTGTTGCATCAGTGCCTTTTTTAACTATATATCTGGGGGGGGGGGAATTGCCCCCCCCCCTGGGAAAGAATTTGCCCCCCCCCCCAGTAAAGCCATTTCTGCCCCCGAAGTGCGAAGCAGAATTTCTCATGATTGCTGTCAGAATTGCAGTTGATTTACTTAATAATGAGATTATGCCCTTCCATAGCCTCCTCCACAGCTATCTTGTGTATAATTCATATTGTTCTTCACCGAGTATTTCATAATAGCGATAGATTTCATGCAAACAATCCGATAAAATGCTGGTTCCAAGAAGAATAGATTTAGTTTAGATTTTTAACTGTTAAATACATGTATGCATCATCATAGCATGAATATTTCTTCTCAGACTTATTCTGTATCGTATGAAAAAGCAACGCAATTTTGAGAATGCGGAAATGGTGTCTCATAGAACCTAAAATGATTTAAATGTAACATTTCTGATCAAAATCAGATTGGGATTTTCTCCCCCCCCCCCAGCATCACAGAGAGGAAATAAGGTGACACTGACCCCTCCTCCTATTTTTCAAGGTGACTTTTCCAGTTTATTTAATTCCGAGTAGAAATGTCTGGAAAAATTCATGTCTTCGATGTACTTTATAATCTTCGGAACTCTTCGGAATTTCACTCCCAAAATGCTTGAAATCGCAATTCAGGGACCCTAGATTTGAAAATTTCCCCGGGGGTGCATGCCCCGGACCCTCCTAGACTTTTCGACCCCCCCCCCAAAAAAAAAAAATTAAGGTCTGGCTACGCCACTGGTTATAGCTGTACGATTATAGCTACAAAGAGTTGAAGTTATTGTTTAAAGTAAAATATAGGTGAAGTTAATAAATTAAAGTTTTACAAAATCTCTCTTCAGACTCGCGCGTTCGCCAAACCTCGACGGCTCATATTTTTCGTTCTGCCTTTTTCCTGTTTTGCCCCCCCAGTGAAAATTCCTTTAAAAAGGCACCGTGTTGCATTCAGGCAAATTTTCCTAGTAAGTTTGATATGTATATATCAGTTTTTCGGCTAAGTACGAACAATATTTTAGTATGCATTCAAATTTTGTTCTTGTGTGTGATTGATCAGAAATCCCCATCCAAAATCTCAATATCCAGTATTTAATAATTGCGTGCAATATTTTGTGCAAAATTATTTTTATTCAGACCTCGGTCATTGTTACCCGCCTCAGCCTTCGGCTTCAAAAATAACATTGACCCTCTTGAATGTACTGTTTAACCTCATCCAATAATTGTTAAATATCCATCTTGATCTCTTGCTCTTTCTGGTTCTTCAGCGAATCATTGTTGATTACCATAGTTCTTTTTTCTAGGTCAAAATATGTGTCCTGAAGGTTGGATCGCATACAATGATTCCTGTTACCAATTCAATATGGACATATCTCAAAAAATGACATGGGCAGAAGCCGAAGCCGCTTGTAATGCAATTGGAAATTTTGCCTCGCTAGTTAAAATAAACAGTCAAAGTGAACAGGATTTTGTAAATCAACGAATCCAATCTATCTCTGGCACAGATGCCTGGATAGGTCTTAACGATATTAACAAGGAAAATGTGTTCAGATGGACTGCTGACAAATCGCCCAGTTCGTTGGACAACACTAAATATCAAATTTGGGCGAATGGTAAACCATCTGAAAATAATGACGATCGTGACTGCGTGATGATACTAAGTGTCAGGAAAGATGGTGCATGGTCGGTTAAAAATTGCTCACAAAAACAAAACTACGTTTGCATGAGACATAGAGGTAAGCATTTAATAAAGATTGCTAATGTACATTCAAACTTTATTCTCGTTTGCGGTTGGTCAAACACGTACTTGTGTCTAAAACAGATTACAATCTAAAACACTCGAACTTGAAAGATCTGTGTCTGTGTATGTAGCGACGATAACAAGACAGCTGGGGATTGAGAGAGATACAACTACCCAGTGCCGTAGCCACAACGATAATTGGGGGGGGGGGGACATATTCATATATTCGTGTTCTGCCCGCGACGGATTTCTTTTGAAAGCGATTGTTTTTACGATATGTGACATGAATATATGAATATACCCCCCCCCCCCACAAATTATCGCGTCTACGGCCCTGAAAATAAAGGAATTGCATTTAAGGAAATATTTTTGTAGATTCAGTAATCACTTGAAAGTGTGCTAGTTCGTAGAGTTCTGCTTTATTAATTTCTTTTGAAATCAATTGTTTTTATTGTATGTGAACACGAATATATGAATATGTCCCCCCCCCCCCTTATCGTTCTGGCAACGGCACTGCAACTACCTGAAAAATATATTCAGCACTTCAACTTTCTCCCCAGGGCGAATGCGTCATGTGCACGCACAGTCGACACTACGACACTACTCATCGCCGTAAAACCTACAAGGAACTAAATGTGATTTTTATTTTAGATTTACCGTTTTGCAATGGGCCACTGGGAATGGAGAATGGGAAGATATCGGATTCTCAAATTACAGCTACCACTTTCTTATCTACAAATGAACCCTTTCAGGCTCGATTCCGTCACGGTGGGTCCTGGTGCCCCACGACAGCAAATCAGGTAGATAAAAGTATACCTTATTATAGGAAATTGAAGGGAAATGGCAATATAAATTTTTATTTTCTCATTTGAAAGAACTTTTGAAATTATATATTAACTTCTTTTACTGATTTTTCATATCCTGCTTAGTTCTTGAAATATTTTCACTTGAAGTGATGAGATTTCCGCCATCTTGGATACATTTTTGAACTCATTAACGGTAGTTTTGGTGACATCACAACAGGGATTAACCACATAAAAGTATTCGTTGCTGACCAAATATTGATTGGTAGATGTTTTAATGGTTTTGAATGATCTTGATATTTCGAAGGGCAGACAGAGTATAGTTTTGAGTGCAAAATGATTAGTGGTTGTCTAGGTAAAAATATTGCGTGACCCTGTTGTGACGTGGCATGCATATCTACAAACACAGGTCCGCTGTGGCGGACATGCATCTACTGAATAGTAGCACTGGGAAATAAAAGGCATTTAGCAGATAAAAGCATAGATGTGCACTCTGACCTTTGGAATCAATTTCTGGCATTTCCAGAGTCATAGCACAAGCACAAGTGACAAACGTCCCATTGTTGACGTTTTAAAATTGTATTTCCGGTTGGGATTTGCTCACAGTCGGGCCAGAAATGGAAATTTTTATATACCGTGATAAAACTAAAAGATACAAATTTGAAGATACAAGCTCGAAAATATAAAGACTATAAACACTCCACACAGTGTTATTGATAATGACTCGAACAAGAATATTGCATGTTCGGCGAAAGGTATGGCTAGTTTATATTTTTGTTCAGACAATTGCGTAATTTGATAATATACGATCTCGCTTGACTTTCAAAGGTCATAAATCGCTACAATGTTGATAATGACTAAAACTATTGTGCACTGAACCGAAGATATGAACATACAAATTCGTCATCCTCTCGCGCAGTGTATACGTATTGCACTCCGCTCATGTTATCGACAAAACCATTTTATTGAGTACTCGTGTTATTGACAAAACCATTTATGGACAAGAGCGGAACTAACCGTAGATAACGGACTTTCGCTCGCAATCCTATGCTCAGGAAAGTCGATAATTGGGGGGGGGGGGGCAGATATTCATATATTCATGTTCACAGACGGTAAAAACAATCTCTTTCAAAGGAAATAAATTATGCAGAACATGAATATATGAATATCTGCCCCCCCCCCCAATTATCGACTTTCCGGCGCCCCCTGCCTATGCTCGCAATGCATTACATCTATACGTCATCAAATGTGCCTTTTCCCGACATACACGGACCTCTGCAGGTCCTGATAATGCTTCTACTGATTAAAATCAGTAGATGCAAAAATTGAAGATGGCGGACAATTTCATTCCCTCTTCGATCAAATGTATTTATATGAAAAAACGGTAAAAGAGTATTATATATAGTCTTAAAAGTTCTTTCAAATGAGAAAATGAGAAAATATATTGCCATTTCCCTTTAACCATGCAATTTATTAACGTAGAATGAAATCCGTTATTAATTTAATTAAGGTTAGAATAAATAGTCTTTCAAACACTCATTAATAATTCATAAGCTTATTGGCAAATCATGTCAACCATAATATGTCACGTGCAGTGGCTTTAAACCTGATAAAACACTCCTAATTAGTATTCTTTATATAAAGAATACTAATAAGGCAGTATCTATTGCAGTCGTGTCTTCATTAGTATTTTTTATACTGTATAAAGAATACTAATAAGGCAGTATATCTATTGAATTTGCAGTCGTGTTTGAAACTCGCAGGTCGTGTTTTATTAGGTCTAAAGCCACTCGCGCTGCGCGCTCGTGGCTTTAAACCTAATAAAACACTCCTGCTCGTTTATTAAACAGTAAATAATTAATTAAGGTTATTAAATTACTAATTAACTATAGTTATTAAAGAAATCCCACGTTAATTAATATGTCACGTTAATCTATGTCTAGATAAGGTACTTATTAAATCATCACATTGTTTGGTGTTGCCTTCATTCAACTGTGCTTAAAATCAATGGCTGTGATCAGGGCGCTTATATACTATACTTAACATTCACTACACGCTTTTGGAAGTATGTTAAAAAACCTGTATTTCCTAATAATACGGTGTGTTTTTCTTCCCAGAAAGAGTATCTACAAGTTGTGCTGCCCTATTTAGCTGACATCAGAAAGATCGCCACAGAGGGTAACGTGACTTCATATACATTGACAGTTAGTAGAGATGGGATAAAATTCAGATATTATAATCCTTCAGCAACATCAAAGCAATTGGTATGTATTTTTGTTATCTTTACATCTTTACATATATATATATATATATATATATATATATATATATATATATATATATATATATATATATATATATATATATATATATATATATATATATATATATATATATATATATATATATTCGCTTACCTCAAAATTCCGCATGATTCTTTACTGATGAAACAGACTGTTGCGGAATTTTGAGGTAAGCGAAATTATATATATATCAGGCTTTCTTGCCATCCTACTTTTCCTACTTTTTCCTACTTTTCTTCAACTTTCCTACTTTTCCTATTTTTTATTAAAAATTGCTTGATTTTCCTACTTTTTCCTACTTTTTCTCATATAATCCTACTTTTATAAGACAGCTTGGGGATCAGTATGTTATAGCTCTCGTAATTAGATCTATAGGACTCGTAATTTTTATTCCCTATTTGTGTCCCAGATGATAAGATCTCAGGAGGAAAAGAAGCACATTTTCCGAGTATAAAATTTGATAGCATGCCATTTCTAGAATCATAATCAATAAATTAATGAAGACTCTGAAAGTGCCATTTCCGACGATCTAGAGATTCCAAATATTCAACTCCCCCCCAGTTAATCAAGCATCATATATACAGGGCCGTAGCAACCGGGGGGCTGCAGCTCCCCAATAATTTGCTAATAATCATTTTTTTTCAAAATCATGCAGACCTTTATCATTT